AATTAACTGAAATCATGTTTCTTGTCATAATTCAGTTTTTCATGGCCATTTTATGGTCAACACAGTACTCAAATTTGTATTTCTAAAGTCCTGTTTTCCAGGATATGATCATTTAAGGATAAGAGGTTTTACTTTTACTTCATATTCCCAAACAAAACGGGGCATTTAATTGTAAAAAATACCTTCATTATTATACCTTCATCAAACCTATCATTATTGGCTATTTATTCGGTTTCGGTTGGGTTAACATTTTGGTTGGCAGACAGTAAATGGGGGCTTCAGAGCAGGCAGAGATGCTTTCATTAGGGGTTTGAGTGCTTGAGAATTGCTTCTATCACACTTGGATAAGCATGATGAATGATATTGATTGTGTGTGAGTGTGTCATTCCCAAGCGTTATAGAGTTCTTCTCGGTTCTGTGACAATCACAGATTACTTTTGGCACATAATTACATGGTTGAGATGACAGGACAGTGTAAGGCAATCACTCTCTCACGCAGCTGATTGAGAGTACTCTTGACCATGCTGCCCTTACAGCCGTTCACTCACAGCTATTCGTATCGTTGGCCACAGCGACGATCCCCATTGGCTGTTGTGGGATATCAGCTCTTAACACCTTCATGTCTCCTCCAACATATTTGTCGGCTCTGAGGACGGCTCTGCGCACCCAGTCTGTCCAGAAGATGTGGTCACCGTACACGGTCAAACCGAAAGGATGCACTGGCTCATTCTTCAGGACCACCTACAGACGCCGAAACAGATAGAAAGTAACCATTCGGTTTGTAGAAATTATCAAATTAAATTTTCCATTTTGATATCTCCATTTGAGACTAAATTAACTTATTTCTTCCAAACTTTCTGTCTGGAATTATTCAGTCGGTGGGAAAAACATCTATTGAGGGGCCTGTAAAATCTGCTTTATTTTATTTTTAACATTTAGTTTATTTATTTTCTCTCAATTCCATTTTTCTTAATGTAAATTTTTTCTGGATTCTGTTTTAATAGTTTAATTTTAATAAGCAAAAAGTGTTTAAATGAACAAATTCATAAAACTAAAATGGCCAATATCAAGGTCACCAAAAATTCTGAATCTGAATTAATTAAATTGATCACTTTTTACATTGTATTGTCAAAGAACCTGACGAGCTCAGTCACAGAAATTCACAAATCAAACTTTTGCTTTAGTCGAATTTGAGTCAAGAACCAGTGAATATTTTTCTGTTCTCTTGGAAGGTGAAAAGATGATACAAAAAGAACCAAAAAACTGTTTAATTTGAAAATGAACAGGGGCAAACATGCCACTAAAATGCCCCTAACCTCAAGATGCCCCTGCACGATTAAACTAAATATATTACAGTTATTCACCCAAAAATGAAAATTAAGTCATCATTGTCAGACCTGTTGTGTTTTCCTCCCTCAAGTTTCTCCCTCATGTTTCCTTATGTCCATATTTGGTTATGTTCCTGTCCTCATTGTTTCATTATGAGTTCATTAGTCTCCACCTGTGTTTGTTTAATTATCTAGTTAATCCCTATTACTTAAGCCCTGAGTTGTTTCCAGTCTAGTGTCCGGTATTGAATGTCGATGTTGTGTTTCCTGTGTGTCCCTGCCTGCCTTGTTTTACCTCGTCTTGGAGGATTAAAGACAGTTACTTTGAGTTTATCGCACGTCTCCTCGTTCTTCGTTTCGCCACAGAAGGCAACCGTGACAATAATTTACTAAAAGATTATTATTCCTTTATTATGCCTTTCTTTCTATTTCAGACCACAAAAGGAGAAATTTTAAGAAATGTCCTGCTAGCGCTCGTCCATATAATGGCAGTGAATAGCGACCAGCATCAAGCTTTTAGAAAAACACACACAAGTATCACAGAATGACCCCATGTTGTCGTATATTCCAAGAGTTCTGGGGTATACAATAAGGTTTGGTGAAAAACAGACTGAAAATTAATTTATTTAACGAAAATCTTGACCTTGGTTTGCGTGCACGATTACGTGTTCATGTTCACTCCCCAGGAAAAGCACACAAGTTGTGAGCAATCAAAATCTGAATGAAAAGTGTTGATTGTTCACAATACAATCATAAACAAAATAAGCAATCACACTCGCTTCTGTTGAGCTTATGAATGCAATGGCCATTCAGAAGCAATCAGATTAGTCACAGCTAAAAAACTGACTGACTATCATCATACGATGGAAGTAAGAGATTGACTTCTCAGTGTAGACAGCTTCAGTGATTATAACAGGAGTTTTTGCGAGATTGCAGATGTTGGAGTGAGCTTGCAACGGACTGAAGTCATGGACCGCTTCAGTGATGAGAAATGTTCTTTGCTCTTTTTCTTAGCTAGTTTTGCTGTGTAGCCAGAATATGATGAGCCATTTCCCACAATGATCCTCAAATGCACAGTGTGTTTTGCTTCAAGAGAACAACCATCCATTTGAGCTGCATTTTATTTCCTAATTTTTATGAATTTATAATCTTACAATCATTTATAATCATTAGCCATTCATGTAGTTTATCATTTGATTATTTATCATTTAATCATTAATTCATTAATTCAATAATTATTTTTATATATTTTTCATTTGCTTATAGTGCTTTTCTATTATTGTTTAATCTTATGATTGTGGAGTTAAATTAAATGTTTGTCTTCACAAACATGAGATAAGAGGGAATATTTATGGAAATTCAAGGTTTTATGGGATGTTGTTGTGAAGCAGTTAATATAATAATGGTGTAGTAGCACTTGTTGGATTTGTGCTGGTCAGATGGAGTCTGGGCATAGAAACACACACAATTAAGATTGTTCAATAAACTCTGCTCCTTTCTCAGGCAACTTCTAGGATGATAGAAGACTGTTAATACATTTTTGGGTACCAGACAAAACTGAAACTTGCTGACAGGATCTGGCATCCGGGGCTGGATCTTATTATCTGGTGTGGAGACTCAATCCAACAAGACTACAGAAATACATTTAATAAGGTAATTATTCATTTAATAAGGTAATTAAAAAAATGCCCTTACAAAGGTAAAATAAATAAATAAATTCCCTGGAAATCAATTACAGAAGCAAATATTGTGCCTTAATGGAAAAGTTCATTTCTGACCCTGCTGTACAGCTACATTTTGGACTAGTGAGATTTCACTCACTATCAAAATGCAATCTGCACATCGCAATTATGTCTGGTCTGGATGCATTGGGATTTGACTGAGTCATAGTGCAAGTTAAGCAAAATGGACACTCATGAGTGCAAGTTCTAACTTACATAACGATGGGAGCCATCATACTCGCAGCGCTCAATCTTATCAAGCGTAGCATCCGAGAAATAGAGCTTCTCGGCACGATGGTCGATGGCGAGTCCATTGGGAGTGCGGATGTCCCTGCCAATGATCACCAGGACATTGGCTCCAGACAGCTGAGCGCGCATGATACTAGGCGACTGCTCATTCCAGTTGGTCCAAAACATCAAGCTGGTGAACAGCAGAGCAGTGTGAGTCAATGACAAACATTGAGTGTAACAGCATATTTATGTATTACTAGTGCCATCCTAAAAGCAACATGACATCCCTTTCTATGAGTTTGTTGTGAAATGAAAATCTCACCTCTGACATTCATCCAGGACGAAAGCCCGTGGGTGGTCATCTCCTGACATGGTAACTACAATGTCCCGGTCAAAAGCCCCCCAGCGGCTCTGGTCCACACTGTGACGGGTGATGGTGGACGTGGTGTAACTGGTCCAGTATAAAGTGTCCCAGGCCCGATGATACGCCAACCCTTCCACTGACCCAACATCTGCAGACAAAAACAGATGGGAAAAACATTTAAAAATTAGTGAAACCTGCTGAAGTCTGTCATTGATGTAAATCAAAGAACAAAAGAAAAAGATATATATATATACATATACTTTTTATATTGAGTTGAGATGTGCTGAAGTTGCCTTTGGTCTCGTACTCTATCGCATACCTTGTCAGTGTCGAGCGCTTGCTTAACCCTTTGTTGTGATAAACAGTAAAGTGTGTTCGAGCGCTAGCAAAAGACAGTGTAAAGAAATACTCTTTGAGAGAAGCAGTCAATCAGCGGAAGTTAAAAGCAGATAGTAAGTGTATTTATTACTTGTCTCATTAGTGTTTAGCTCAGTTGTTGTTGCTATAAAACGCTTGTTTTGTTTACTGTGTTGAGATGTGCTGAAGTTGCATTTGGTCGCATACCTCTATGCTTTGCATCGCATACCTTGTCAGTGTCGTGCGCTTGCTTAGCCCTTTGTTGTGATAAACAGTAAAGTGTGTTCAGCTGAATTCAATTTCCGTGTTGTGAAACGGGTATAAAAAAGTTTAGTATACCGCGGCAGCGGTCGTGCCAGCCCTCGTGTGAAGTCCTCCTTATGTGAAGACCGAAGAGTGTAAAGACCATCGCCTCTACCGTGCGACTCCACCGGGCAGGGACACTGGCAAGGGACATAAGTATCGCTTTTGATTCATTCTCTTTTCTACTACTTGTTTCACTTCTGTTTTCAATTTTTATAACCAATTCTTTCTATGTGTTTCCAGATCCCTACTATCACTACCACTCGCAAACCACGCATCACTCACAACAGGCAGTGAAATCCTAACAACCTGTGTACTTTGCCCATGTATGCTAATACACTACTTTCTTTTTCTATTGGTCTCTGGAATTGCCAGTCTGCAGTAAACAAATCAGATTTCATTACATCTATTGCTAATCATTTAAGATTAAACCTCATGGCCCTGACAAAGACGTGGATCAAACCAGAGGACACTGCTACACCTGCAGCACTCTCCAATAATTTCTAATTTCCCCACACTCCCCATCTGACTGGAAGAGGTGGAGGTACTGGTCTGCTTATCTCTAATGACTGGAAATTTATTCCTTTACCTTCTCTGGGTATAAACAGCTCCTTTGAATTACATTCAGTCACTATTACCCACCCTTTTAAAATCCATTTTGTAGTGGTTTATCGACCCCCAGGACCACTAGGTAACTTTGTGGAAGAATTAGATGTGCTGCTCTCAAACTTTCCTGATGATGGTACTCCCCTAGTTATGCTTGGAGACTTCAACATCCACCAAGATAAACCTCAGGCTGCAGACTTCCACACTCTGCTTGCCTCTTTTGATCTCAAGAGAGTGTTAACTACGGCTACTCACAAATCACGCAACCAACTGGACCTTATTTACACACGACACTGCTCCACTGATCATGTGCTGGTTGCTCCACTGTACACCTCGGATCACTTCCTCCTCACTCTTAACCTCAACATGGTTCCTGAAACAACACATACCCCTCCACATGTCATCTTTCGACGTAACCTACACTCACTCTAACCTTCCTGGCTAACTGCTATGGTTTCTTTTTCGCTTCCTCCACCTAAACAGTTATCATCTCTTAATGTTAACAGTGCTACTGATACTTTCTGCTCCACTCTTACATCTTGTTTAGACACTGTCTGCCCCTTGTCTTCCAGACCAGCCCGTACCACCCCTTCTGCCCATTGGCTGTCTGATGTTCTCCGCGAACATCGTTCTA